CCCCCCATCCCTCTCTCCTCTGCCTCGTCCTCCTCTCCCTTCACCAGTATCTCTTTGGAGCATCTTTGCACTCCTTTAAACATAAGCCCACTGAGTTATAAGATGCCATTCTTCACATTTCAAAGAGAATACTGTTTTTGAGCCTGGGCTTAAAAAAGATTTAACTGTTATTTCTATGTGTCCCACCCCGGCCCTTTTCTAACCTAGATAAAGGCATAGGATTTCAGATCATGAGTAAGGATAAGAAAAGAAAGAAACAGACTGAAATTGTCATGTATGAAATAGTGTCTGTAGCCCAAATGATGTCTTTCACTTAATTAAACTAGATAATAATAAAAATATAATGTTGCTGTTGTAGGCGTTAAGATACAAACTCGTTTCAAATGTTCCTAACTCTTTACAAGAATGCATTCCACACCTGGCTGTTGTGGAAGGATATGTGAATGCTCCATCTTGTCAAATTCATTTATGCTTGAAAGGGTTTTATAAAGCATTTAAAACATTCTGCATCCGAGGTGGATGATTATTTGTATGAAGGTGGTAGTTGGAATATGGCTCAGGCTTCGTATATTTTCGGCTCATTTTGACCCATGTGTCCTCTGTAAGGGTCACTTTCTTGTTTTTTGCCAAGAAGACTTCTGTATGAATACAAGTTTGTAAAAGAGGAAAACCCCAGACAGCTGTCTAGTTCATATTTCAGGCATTCCTGTGCCCGGTGATACATACACGAACCACTGAGATAAAGGGCCAGGTCTTCTAGTCGCTTAGCAGCAACATTTATTTTCCTTCTGAATCCAAAGTAAATAACTATGTAAACATTTTTTTGTCAAATCCACTACACTCAGAAGGAAAGACAGCTTATTTAAATATTCTCTGTGCAGAGTTATCCATAGGTTGGAAATACAACCATTGCTACAGATCTGCTCTGAAATACGGTGTATTTGTTTTAAATATCTCCATATGTATGCTCACCCAGATGTCAGTAGGTGACCCGGAGCATCTTCCTGGGAGCCAGCAAGAGTGACAGATGGGTGTATCTATGGGAGGGTCCTGTAGGCACCTGCTCTTTATGGGGTGAATGCTGAGCCCTGTTCTGGTAGTTTCTATACCTACACTCAACATGTCTGTATCAGTGGATGTTTTCAGCAGGGAAACCTTAGAAGGCTAATCGTCCATACAGAAGATTTTCATCATAACAGCAATAGTTGACTTTTTCCACAAATAATACATCCACACATGTTATTACATAGTGCACAGTTTCCCTGGTGTCATGTTAGTGATGGTGTGGGCAGTCATACTTCAGCTCCTGTTTAGAGGGAGCATCATTCCACCTGCGAGACCTGGGGCTGCCTCATGTAGTTTTTCACCAAAGAACTCAGATCTGGCTCTTTTGTGTTTATGGGCAAATTGATCACTATCCAAGAATTTCTTGCAGCACAGAAATCGGGTCAGACCTCAGCCTCTTCTGACCTCGCCCTGATCATGGCCCTGACCAGGCTTCTCTACTGACATTTTAGCTCACATCCAATGAAGTTTTCTTGACTGAAATAAATTCAGTTAATCTCTTCATGATATTTGTTGTCCACATAAACATGATCTCAGCACTGTGACCTTGTCGTGTCCTTCCGACTCCATTTCTTTTCCCTCCTCCCATCATGACATGCATATTATTTAGAGGGCTTTTTCCTGGTGATTCGTTTGCTATTTCTTTCCATCAGACCCAAGCGGCACTTAGATTGAGGTCCACTCTGCTTGTTCTGGTGTGCGCTGTTCCCGTCCGTGTCCGTGAATGGCCCCTTTGGGATCTCTCACACTGCCGTCGCTTTGAGAAGAGCTAGAATTTGGGCCAAATTAGCTGAGAGATTCACACAGAAAGTTAATCTCGATAACGCTGCAAATAGACTCCTTCGCTGCTCTTGGTTATCTTTGGAGAATCGTGTGTCAGTCACACCTGCTGTTCCTGCTCGCTCTGCAGATGGATGGTTTAGCCTTTGCTCATTTACTCTTTTCGTCCTATGCCACTGCACACACAAACCTCCTCTGTGTCGTCCTCCAATCACATTCAACTTGCAGATTCTGAAGAGCAGACCCCAGAAATTCTAGGAAATGCTTTGTAAAAAAAATCTGTGGCCATTGTCAAGCAGTTCGACGTAAGTAACTGGCAAAATCAAACAGAGAATACTTTTTAAAGAAACATCCGAAAACAAGATCAATTAAATCTCATGGAAAAACAGTCGATGATAAACCATGTGCAAAATGTTTTATTGTTTTCTTAATTCTTCCAATTAAGGCATGGAAGTTGAAAGTGATTTCCCCCATTTCACTGAGTGATTTTTCCATTATTGACAAATCCTACGTGGGCATTAGATTGGATTGTTTGGGATGGAAAGTAGGTTTCTTCTTATTCCTTAACATTCATATCAGTTACAAAAATGTGACTGAATAGCCTACATTTTCTAAGCCAAGGATGAAAATCTTTTTTTTCCAGTATATATTTTACTGAATTTTTGTGCATTTCATACAATACATCTTCATCATATTTAGCTCCCTTTCCTCTATCTGCACCCCTGAAGAGCCCACCCACAAGATGTCATGCATTCTGTCACATATGTTAAGGCCTATTGAGTCAATTTTGTGTACCCAGCAGTCCCTCAGTGTGAGTTCATCCACTGGAGCCTGGTCAGCCTACCTAGTGTCACTCCGTTAAAGAAGATACTTTTTTAAATGTTTTTTTTATTTATTATTTTTCTTTTATGTATATGTGCGTATTGCCTGTATGTAGGTAAGTGCACCCATGTCATGCAATGCCCAAGGAGGACAGAAGAGGCTCGGATCCTCTGGAACTAGATTTACAAACAGCTGTTAGCTGCCATGTGGGTGCTGGGATTCGAACCTGGGTCTTCTGCAAGAACAACTAGTGTTCTTAACTGCTGAGCCATCTCTCCAGCCCCAAGAAGATACTTTTTGAAAAATGAAAAAAAATAAATTTTTTTTGTCAGTTTTGTACATTTATGTCTCTTGTCCTCCCTCTTGTCTCCCTGAATCCCTTTCCTAACAAGCCCCTCCTTCTTTTGTCTGTGATCCACTGAATCCAATGAGACGCTTTCCCACAGGAGAGTGGGTAAGCAGGTATTTACTGGCACATGGGAACTTTAATGTAGCTACACCACTGAAGAAGATGGCACTCCCTCCTTAACTATAATAGTCCCACAGGGAGAGCGGGGCCTCGTGGGTCCTGCTCCATCTGTGATGAGATGTTAATGGGCCCAGTCTTGTGTAAGATAACCACAGCTGCGGTGAGCTCATGAGTGCTGTGACCATGCCAGGCATAGAGGAAAGGTTGTATCTGGACATCTCCCTAGCCTCTGGCTCTTACATTCTTTCTGCCTCCTCTTCTGTGATGTTTCTTGAGCCCTGCAGGGGGTGATGTGTACCACTTAGGGCTGAACACGCTGCTGTCACTCTTAGCTGGTTTTGCTCTTCTGCATACCCCACTGACAGCTGCCGTAAATGTCTCTGATGAGGGCTGGCACAGCGCTAATCCCAAATGCTGAACCAGAG